AACTTCTTCTAACGTTCATGTTCAAGGGAAACAAGGCCTATTCAGTATTATATTCATTCCGCTCAAATCGTTTAGCTAATCCAAGTGTCATTTGTGTCACATTAAACAAAGAACCTTCTAGGGTTACAAGTTTTTGTGACATAGCAAATATCGTATTTTGTAACTGACTCGTTCAATCAGCTAACTTTCCGTTCTTATTGGTTATGAACGCTTACACCAGCAGCAAAAATAACCCCAAGTGCTCCAACAACACCTAATATAATAAGTACAAGACATTTAAGACGGTAAAATTACACGTCGAAAAAGATGCTAGATTATTTGTATGATGGCCACCTCGAATTTGTTCTAGAACTCGTTCCTGATATTCTTGGCACATGAGAAGTTTGCCTGAAGTTTTCACAGGTAATAGTGGACATATGTGTTCGGTTATGGGAACAGACAAGGATAGTACAAAAATATCATCAACTTCATAATATCGTCCACTTCTCATAAAAACTAGATCAGAACTTTCATCTACTATTAACAATTCGTCATTCATTATGTGATTAAAAATAGAATTATTTTGACTACTCACATTTATCAAACCATTCCATACCAATATAACAATCACAAGCAGTGTACGCAATTCTTCAATGATATACATTCGATATATTTGATATTCAAGATGTTGCTTGCGATAAAAACAAAAGGATATAAGACTTGTAATTCACGATATTCAGCACAACAGTCAGATAACCAATGACATTTGATTATTCAACAATTTCATTTGACAGCAAAAAGAAACAAAGTACAAATTACCCTGCAAGATAATATATAAAGTAAATATTTCTACGATGAAATATCGCTAACTATATAGTTTATAGAGTGAATTATTATTAGTTCAACCTAAAGATTAAAATATTTTTATATAATGCACACGTACGGTACGCGTGCACGTTCTTACGATCAGAGAGATAAGTCAATCATTTGTGATTATCGTTTTAGTACGTTTGCAGAATTCTTTAAAATGAGTGTACAAAATCGTCTAATTCGAGAACTTTTGTTTTACGAGTTCCAACTGGGCCATACTGCGGCCGAAGCACTTCAAAACATCTGCCCAGCGAAGGGCGAGGGTGCTGTGAAGAAAAGCACTGCATTTGACTGGTTCTGAAAATTCAAGAACGGCGACACGAATCTCGAAGGTCAGCCCCGCTCCGGGCGACCATTCTCGATTGATCCAGAGGCGCTGCGCCAAGTCGTCGAAGCTGATCCAGCCACAAGTACGCGTAAATTGTCGGCCGAGTTCGGAACATCAAACTCTACAATATATAAACACCTTCATCGTCTGGGCAAGGTCAACAGAAGCTGTTGAAATGTACCGCACGAATGGACACCAGAACAAGCTCAGCATCGCGTTAATGTCTGCAAAGAATTGCTCGAGAATCCTCGGGACGAACGTTTCATCAAACGAATTGTTACCTGCGATGAAAAGTGGGTCTATTTCAACAATCCAAATAAACAAAACCAATGGATCAATCGAGGTGAGACGGCACTTCCGGTCCCGATAAAAGGTCGTTTTAAAAACAAGGCTATGTTATGTGTTTGGTGAAATTTTGAGGATGTAATCCACTTTGAGCTGGTTCCTGATGGATACTCCATTAACGCCAACCTCTATTCTCAACAACTCGAGCGCGTGCATGCTGTTCTCCGCGAGCGCTACCCAGCATTGGTCAATCGAAAACGGGTAATCCTGCAGCAAGATAACGCCAGACCACACGTTGCGTGTCGGACGCGAGAAAAAAGAGAAGAACTGCAGTGGGAGCTTATCCCTCACCCAGCGTACAGTCCAGACCTTGCGCCATCTGATTACTACTTGTTCCGCTCGATGGCTCACTTTCTACGTGGAAGGCGCTTCACCAATTTTGACGAAGTCGAAAATGGCTGCCGAGAATTTTTCGCCTCCAAGGACCGAGACTGGTACCGCAGAATCGAATTGCTTGCAGAATGATGGATTAAGACCGTAGAACATAATGATTTATACTTTGATGAATAATATCTTTTTGTCGTAATTTTATGAACTGTGAAAATAAAAGTGTGAAAATGTAACTTTCCGAATACCATAATAATAATTCTTCTACCCTTAATTTGCATATTTTATTTAGGTAAGAGCAAATATTAGTATCTGTGTCAGAGCTGTAACCAGTGGTAGACGTATAGTAAACTATACAAATAGCAAAACTCTCTGCATCACTCGTTCACAAACTTTCTCGAAAAGTTACACTGTTAATTGTTAAATAACTAACTTTTATCCTTTTAATACATTTATTTTATTATGCAAAATCATCCGATCACTGAAAGGTATACTGAATCTTGAACAATAGTTAAACAGTCAATTTATAGAAAAAAATCTTACATGTTCAATAGAATTTCTTGTATGTTATCTTATTCTTTTGACCAGGCGTTTCGGGCGCAAAATTCTCTTTCAATTCATAGAGTTTTTCTTTTTGAAACCACTATTTAAATAGAGAAGAAACGAAAATAAGAAAGAAAGTTTAAACTTCTGCCGTATACTTTATTAAAGATATATGTTAATTGTCATGGCAACATCATGGTATAAAATTAAGAATGGTGCAAAAATACAACACAACAACTGCTTTAGCTTTAGAGAGATGTAAGCCACTGCCCATTAAAACTATTTAAGCACTGATAAAGTCAGATTTAATCATCTCAGCATGCAATTCATAAGAAACATTTCTGCCTTTTTGATTCAGATATAATAGGACATCAGATTTTTTATCGTTATGTTTCTCATTAATAAGTTCAATACGTAAATTAATTAATTCTGTCATTTTGTTGAAAATATGTGGTTGTAATATCTTCAAGTCGAAACTACTTTCACATTTATGTGTGGAGTTTTGATCTTAACGAATATCGTCAAAAAATTAACGACTAGTTTTCCATTTAAGCAACCAAAAACTTCTTCTACCTTTAATATGCATATTTTATTTACGTAAGAGCAAATATTAGTATCTGTGTCAGAGCTGTAACCGGTTGAGAATTTTCGAACCGGTCCGGTCCGGCCGGTTTAAAAAGTTCAAACCGGTAAAAACCGGCAGAAACCGGCCGGTCAATAAGTTTTTTGAACCGATGGAAAGAAGCGATTTGAATAAAAAAAGTTTGTTGTTCTCATTTGCATGGATTTTACTTCTCATTCAAGAACGGAGCTCATATCGCAGTCGTAAAATTCTGTAACCTCTCCGAAAGTGAAATAGTTGCGTGTCTCTAGCTTGAGATGAAGGTCTGTTTCTGCGACAACTAGTTAGTTTCTTGTTTTCAATTTTTTTTACTTTTCTCGTCAAACTTTACAGAAAAAACTAATGTTTTCTGGTACAATAATACAAACTAAAGTTTACACTAAACTTGCTGTCGTAATGTTCAACTGGTGAAAACCGGTCGGTTGAACTATTTCAGCCGGACTGGACCGGTTACAACTCTGATGTGTGTGTGACGTCGTCATCGCCAATAGATGATTATAATCAGTGAAAAAAAGATATGCGACATAATTTTTAACAATGGTCCGAATAAAACTAATGATAACGAATAAGATACAAGCTAAATCTTTTGAATTCGATAACGAATTGTTTTATTAATATGTGGTGATAGAGGGAGATTGTTACCGTCATCATCATTAATACTGAATGACAATGACGTCACATTTACTGTGCGTCTAATAAATGACAGAATCCATTGCCATAACGTCTTTCTTAAGACTGCCAATCGCATGATTTCTCTACGTTTTACAGTATAATCATTCTGAACTAGCTCGAATATCAACAAACTCGGTTTCATTTCGTGATCTTTGCTCTATTATTTCTTGCCTACTACAGAAAACGTATGCTCGTTGCATAAATTGCATTGGCATTGAATTTCGGTATTCATCCATATAATCCCTTGACAGTAGTACATAAATCAGAAATGTCATCGCCTGTGGTATAAACACAAACAAATTTAAAATAATATGCAGATGTAAATATCCACTGTATGATGATTCAATGCAATGGTATATTAAATGGGCAAATAAAAAATGTGGAAAAGAGCAGAAGATAATGAGTACCGGAGGTATCAAGTGGCCACGTTGTTGCGATAGTTCATTTAACCAAACTTGGTAACGTGACTGGTTTGTATTACTGTTCAGACGGCCTATTCGGTATAGTTCCAATAATAAACAAATAAAATGTATGAAACACGGAACAGCTAAATGTATAGCTGATAGCCAATCATCAAGTATAGCTAAAGATTTCTGTTTATAATCGAATGTACATATATAACTTGATGGTTGTACGGGATCAGACAATGCACGTCTACCAACGATTTCATGTACGTGCGACAGGAACACAATAACGGCCGTTACAATGCTTATAATTACTGTTCGTCGTCTTGCATTTATAACTTCAATAAATAATAAATGAAATAACGTACGTTCACCAATGATCAGCGCACTAACCCACAATCCTAAATGGATCATCATTGTGCTAAAGATAGGTGCTATGTTACATGAATAAAATTTATTACTAGATGAATGTCGATCAAATAACATTAAGATAATACGAAATTGAAGTTCAATGGCAGCAACAAGTGCATAGATACAATATAAAACTAAAAATATTCGGTTATTGCCTCGAATTTGTTCAGGAGTCCGTCGTTGTCTATCACGTGACAGAAATGTTTGTAGACTAAGCAGGTTACTGGTTATAGAAATGACTGCTAGTAAACTTACAAAAAATACATAGATAATTTGTTTCGTACGTTTTTGTGATGAACTAGAAGTGATCCGAATGTCGGTTAGTATTGCTGATGTAAGTGATAGTGGAATTATATTATTTTCATATTCACATCGTTCACCAGTAAAACGTCACATACAGGTGCAATAAACAATGGCCACTAACAATAATATTCCTAGTGAATTCTATTTTGCGTGTCATAATAATGATATTGCGAAAGTCAAAGAATTACTGATCCACATGACTGCAGACGATATCGATCGTTTGGAAACGACACGTATGGGGAAAAGTACAGCATTGCATGCAGCATCCTTTTATGGTCATATAGAAGTTGTTAAGCTCTTATTAGAACATAATGCTAGTAAAACAATACGAAATTTTGATAACCTGACAGCTGAGGATGAAGCTTGTACCAGAGACATAAAATGTTTGTTAAGCAATGAGGAGGATAATCATCGATTCGGTGGAAGTAGTAGTGAAAATGAACCACCACAATGGATATTTGTTGAAGAGAATATCATCGCTAAAGCATCAAGTTATCGGAAATGGCTCGAAAGAGGCAGTCATAATATGGCGTATTCAGTTGATACAATTATTGAAAATTATTTACAGAAAGATGAACTATTAGAGAATGTGCATGATCATAATGTAATCAAAGAATTGTTGCTCAAGGCAGCTAGAGAAAATGATCCGACACCAATCGTACGAGCGTATACATTAGAAACACAGTTTTATAAATGTTTGAATCGTGATCTAGCTTCAACATCCATAGATGTACTAAATACTCATGCTATATTTGATCATGTTATTCAGCAGTTTTGGAATAGTCATGGACGAATTGCCGGTATAATAGCACAACATCCAAAATTGAAAAAGTATGCACACTTCGGAAAATGTTATCGAGGGATGCAAATGACGGATCGAGAACTATTTCATTATAAAGATGGTAATAGAATTATGAACAAATCGTTTCTTTCTTCATCCATCAATGAAACAGAAGCTTGTAATTATGCATTGAAGAATTTCAGTCATACTGTCGCCGTAAATAATAACAAATTTCCAGTAATATTTATATTTACAATTACAAACTATCGTACAGCATCCGACATATCAACCATATCTGAATATCCCGAAGAACGTGAAATTTTGATTGCACCCTATAGTGTTTTTGAAATTGTACATATAAAAGGACGAACATTTGAACGGATGAATGAAGATCGTGTTGTTCTAGGTAAAATTCATGGAAGAGAAATAGAGTTAAAAGAATGTGAACCAGAAACTTCTGGCTGCCCGATGATGTAATTTGCCCTTCATTTTGTTTAATGTCAAATTTTATATTTGAAGTCGAATGTAGCTGCATTTCTCAGATTTCTATGAAATAATAAATACATTTGATGCTTTATTCTCATATACACTATTCAATACAATGTTGTTATTTTTTGAGATCTGAAACCACATTTTTCTCCTTTATTACACTGAAAATATTTATTAATGATTAGTCATCATGTTTTTATTGTATGTTGTGTTGACCAATGTGTATTTAGATTCGATCCTCTTTCTTCATAAGGTTCATTATTATAGATGACAGGTGTTTATAACACTCTTCGTCTTGGTCATAATGTTCAGCTAGTAGTGAGTTAAGCTTAGTAGAGTCATAACTCCTATTGATTCTATTGATGTGATCACAATGTTCAATGATTCTTCTATTAGTATCTTCGCACTTGCCTACATAACTACTAAGAATTTAAAATTACTACATTCACATATTATGACATATATTTCATTAACAGAATTTTATCTCCATTTACATTTCTGAAAATCGTTCAAGCTTTGTTAAGAATTTAACCTCAACTTGATAACACTTCACTTAGATACGTTTCAATAAAATATTTTTGTTTAACATTAGATTTAATTTTTGTGTCATATTATTTAAATACAGCATCACTACAATTCCATTTGTATATTTTTTAACTTTCGTATCATCTTGACAAGCGATTTTAAACATATTTTTTGTTGTTTGTTGAATTCGTGCTGTTACTTTATGTTTAATAAAAATATTTGTTGTAAAGGGTACATGAAAACTGTTAATGGTTTTACAGCGCTATATTTTGTTTATTAAAATAACTCAACGTTTCTAGTTCATCAGATCTCATTATCAAGAGTAACTAAACATTAAAATTATACATGAAAAATGAGTAGATTGAAAAGCAAGTTTTGGATATTGTATTGTTACTATTGTGAATTTTTCCTTTTATCCTTGTGTGTTTCACGTTCCTTTTTTAGAATACCTTCTAGATAAATGAGTAACGAGACGGATCGAACATTTAAATTTAGTTTAGGAGTTAATTGTTTTATAGCTAAGGATTCTTTTAGTGATACTCCATAAAGATTATTATCAGTCAATAGTCAACGTGTAGCAATAGTAGACACAAAAAGTGTTAATTCATAACCCATATTGAAAAACATGAAAATTTTACAAGTAAATATAACTTATATAAAAAGTAAATCAGTGAAAATTGAATATAACGGGTGGCGCATAAATAAACGCACTCCCGTACTTTGAATATAACTCCGCCGGCTTTTATCCTATCGATCCAAATCTTTTCCCAAAAGATTCCTTATTGAATTCTCTACAAAACCATGTCATAACAATTTTCTTAAACTGACATGCAGCGAAATTATAAGAGGACAAAGCACAAGTAGTAAAAATAGCAACTTTCCA